CATGGGGCCTGACCAGAGACCCTTGTCTGGAGTCCTGGCCTAGTCACTGTCATGAGTAAACCAGACAGTGTAACTCATGAATGGTCCTCACTTCTCAGGTGACAAGAAGTTTCCATTCATACTCTGTTATGTAAAGATGGAGACTTCTGGTTGGAGGAAGGAAGGGAGGCTTTTATTTTTTCCTTTCTGTGCTGGGCATGGAAGCCAGAACCTCAAGCATGTTAGGCAAGTGCTGTACCTCTGAGCTACATGCTCAGCCCTTGGAGACCTCTGTTTAAGCTAAATAACAAATCATAAGGTTGCCTGCTTTTCAGGTAATTGTGTGTTTTATATTCTTTTAAATAAAATGCGTGGAAAAAGTTTCTTTTAATTTACTGGGGCTGGAGAGATGGCTCAGCAGTTAAGAATACTTGCTGTTCTTCCAGAGGACCTAGGTTTGATTCTCAGCATCCACATGGCAGCTAACAACTATCTGTAACTTCAGTTCCAGGGGATCTGCTATCCTCTTCTGGCCTCCGCAGGCATTGCATGCACATGTTGGACTTACATACACGCAGGCAAAGCATTCACACACATAAAATAAAAATAATAAATAAAATATTGTAAATATAATTTACTGCCAGGTATGGTGGCTGACGTCTATAGTCTCAGCACTCTGGAGGCTGAGGCAGGAGGATTGCCACAATTTTGAGACCAGCCTGGGCTACATAGTGAGTTCCAGGTCAGCTTGGGCTACAGAGTGAGGTTCCATCTCAAAACTTAGTTTATTAATGCGAACAGAAGTTGTGTATATACAAAGATAAAGTCAGAGAAGGACCATTTAACTAGTCAGTTCCGTTTTTAGTGCTGAGTAAGGCTTGACGTAGACATCTTGCAATACCCCTTTATGTCCACCAGAGGCCGCTGTTGACTTCATTTTCCCCCCCCAGACCCCCGGCCCCGCCTTAGCCGCAGAGGGGTGTAGGATGTAGAGAGCTGCCGCTGGGGCCTGAGACGCCCTGGAAGGCCGAGCTAGCCAGGACCAAGTCTCCACTCCCAAAGCCCTTCCCTTCTCTATTACCCTACAGCAGAATGGACTGCCACATGCAGGCTAGTGACCTAAACTTGCGCTTTTGCAAACCAGCCACTCTGTACCACTAGCAGCCTAAGGAGCCTGGGAAGGGAGGGGCGGCTGCCCTTGGGAGCTCCATCAGTTGCCTAGTGGGGCAGCGAGTGGATGCAGCGGTGGAGGGAGGGTGAAGCCCAGGAATGGTACAGGCTTAGGGCCGATGAGTGATTTGTTGGATCTCTTCATTCTTGCCAGGCCTGGGGAGGAAGCTTGGATAGAAAGAGCGAATACAAGGCCTGACTGCACCCCAGGCAGGCATTCTAGTGTCGGCCAGAACAGGGCTTCAGCTCCAGACTAGTTCTTAGATCTAGGATCTCGGGCACACTGGTGGCGCCTCTGAGACTCACCTGCAGAACAAGGATGGCTCGCACTCCCACACAGGCCTGGGGTAGGTAGGCATCGAGGTAACGTGGAAAGTGCTTGCTACATACACAGGTATACGGGATAAGCAGACCCCGCACTACAGAACCTGGGACCACGATATGCCAAGCCGTGGAAGTGCTGCTGGCCTCTGATCTTGAAGGACACACTGACCAAAACACTCCCCAAATGTCCCTGCCATTGCCTGCTGACCAAGGGAGAGGGAGATGAAAAGAGATGTCTGTATTGTAGGTCCAAGGCCATTACAGGCTATGGGGTGAGGGGACACTCTAGGCATGGTGACATAGCCCAGATCAGCAGCTCTCTGCATCCACCCATCCATGCTTCCTTTCATCCATGTTCATAACGGGTTGCATTGTGCCAGGCACTGTAGCAGGACTTGAGGCTATAGCGGGAGGCAGGGCTGATGCGCTGGTATCCACAGTGTTTGAAGGCCATGCAGGCAGACACAGCTCCCTGCTCTTTATTGTTAACATTAATTTATTCTTTGACAATTTCATACATGTACATAATACATGCTGAGGCTATAGTTCAGTAGGTAGAGTGCTAGCCTAGCATACCAAAGGATGTATGTTTGATTCCCCAGTACCTCCTAAACTAGGGCAGTGGCATTCAAGCCTGCCATCCCAGCAGGGGGTCAGGAGTTCAAGGTCATCCCAGCCTCATCCAGCTCCTGAGCCACCTGGACTACATGAGACCCTGTCTCAAATCCACTCCCATAGCAGAAACTTTAGCTCTCTGCCAGTTATGGTGGCACACGCTCACAGGATATGTTGGGTAGACAGACGCTAGCCTGAGCTACACCTAACACATTCTCCTCTGTGTCCTCTGTTTTCACTAACCATTTCTGCTTTGAAGAGTAAAATTAGAACCAAGCTCTTGCAATGGATTTATTTATTTATTATTTTTTATGTGTATGCATATATTGCCTGCATGTAGGTAAATGCACCCGTGTCGTGCAATGCCTGCAGACAGAAGAGACTGTTGGATACCCTGGAACTGGAGTTATGGACAGTTGTTAGCTGCCATGTGGGTTCTGGGATTTGAACCCAGGTCTTCTGCAAGAACAGCCAGTGTTCTTAACCACTGAACCATCTCTCCAGCCCTGCAACATATTTTTTTAAAGGCAAAGTAGAATTAAGTCAGTGCTTTCGATATTGATGCCTTAAATATAAAAGTGATGAATAATTGGGATTAGCTTATGTGAGAAACTAAAGCTAACTCTCCTGGTGTAGAGGTCACTGTGGGCAGGGTCCTGCCACACATTACCTACCCATCTCACCATGCTCATTCTCTGTGGGCTTCTGCCTGACAAAGATATCTATGTTCACAGCCACCTCCCCAAAACCTTGGTATGTAGCCCAGTGTGACCTGGAACTTGCTGTCCTCCTGCCTCAGCCTCCTGAGTGCTGAAATTAGATGTGCATACTACCACATCTAGCTCATGCTGTCTTTAAGAGTCTCACTAATAGTCGTATCCATTGGACATGCACTTGTGAGTCACAGGCATCCTGCAAGGCCCAGCACTGGGAATGAGCAGGACAAGAGCTGTACACACTTCTCCAGGGTCACCCCATCTTATAGAACAGACAGATATGTGACCCAACTCTTTAGGACAAGACATGGGAGGGAAGAGAAATCGAGGGCAGGAAATGGCTGCTGGCTTGTGGGACTGGGGGCTTCTTCCCTGGGGCATGTGGCTGTTGAGTTGGGCTTGGAGGAAAAGGTGGAATTCTGCTGCACCAGGAAGGGAGGAGGGACAGCCATGGGAATCACCAAGTCAGGGAAATTCAAAGCCAGGTGAAGCACACTGGGGAACCCAGCAGAGTGTACATGGGAATAGGTAAGCGCAGGGGCAAGGGATGGAGAGATGGCTCGCCAGTTAAGAGCACTGGCTGCTATTGCGGAGGACCCGGGTTCGATTCCCAGCACCCATGTGGTGGCTAATAACCATTTAGTACTCCTGGTCCAGAGGATCTGATGGCCTCTTCTGGTCTCTACAGGCACTGTATGCATGTGGATTGTACAACATGGGTATACTTACATATATGCAGGCAAAACACTCATATACATAAAAAAATTAAAAACTTTTTTTAAAAGATCAGGGATGAAAGTTTGAGAAAGCTGACTGAAACCAGGTAGAGGGTTTTGCACACCAGGTAGAAGAGCTGGAATGCTTCTCCTTTTTTAAAAAAAAGATTTTATCTATTTTATTTTACATGTATTACTGTATTGCCTGCATGTATGTAAATGCACCTGTGTTGTGCAATGCCTGAGGAGGTCAGAAGATGGCATCAGATCCACTGGAACAGGAGTTAAGGATGGTTATTAGTTGCCATGTGGGTGCTGGGAACAGAACCTGGGTCCTCTGCAAGAGCAGTCAGTGCTCTTAATTGCTGAGCCATCTCTCCAGTCCCAAGGAATGCTACTCTTTAGGCCCTGGGAGTCATGGAAAGTTTCACGGTCTAGGAATGATAAGATCAGAGTAAAATCAAGACTGTCATAGAGTACCGTGTCTACAATAAATTGACATGGGACAAATGAAGAGAGATTGGTTAAGAAGTTGTTTAACTTCTATTACATTTTTATTTAGTGTGCGTGTGTGTGTGTGTGTGTGCGCGCGTGCGTGCGTGCTCATGCATGCATGTGCAACAGTGTGCATGTGGAGGTCAGAGAACAACTTGGGAGAGTCAGTTCTCGCCTGTCATGTGGATTCTGGGGATGGAATTCAGGTGGTCAGGCTTAGTGGCAAGCCCGTTTACCTGCTGGGTCATCTTTTTGGCCCGCATTTAACTTCTAATGTAGTCTGAGCATGCCAGTATCAAGACTGTAACAGCGGCAACGAGAAAAATCAAGCAGTTAAAGGATGTTGCTAAGAAGACCCTCAAGCAGCCAGGGCTGAGAGGAGAGAGATGGGAAGGAAGCCTGAGGGTTTGGCCAGGACTTCAGACACACATAGAGGAGTTGGGAGGGAAGGGAAGGTGATAGACATGTCTAAGCATATGGGGTATCTAATTTTTTTCTCTTTTTTTGGACTTCTTATTATGTATACAGGTGTTTTGCTTGTAAGCATAAGTGCACCTGTGGGTGCAATGCCATCAGAGGCCAGAAAAGGGCACTGGATTCCCTAGAACTGGAATTAAGGACTGTTGTTAGCTGCCATGTGGGTGCTGGGAACTGAGCCCTGGTCCTCTTAACTGCTGTGTCTTAACAGCCAGTGCTCTTAACTGCTGAGCCATATCTCCAGCCCCCAGTATCAAATTTCTTAATTCTGGAAAAGGAAATATTAATATATGGGAAAGACATGGGGGATGGAGTTTTGGGCTACATCCCTGTGCTTTGCCCTGACCTGATGCTCTTTGGCCTTCTCTGTTAGACCTGCAGGGATTGCTGCTCTAGGCTGAGGGGTAGACATAGGTTCAGCCTAGACACAGCCCGGGTTGGGGAGGGTGGGTATCTGCACTGGACCTGTTCACTGTAACTCATCATCGTCTTTTCTCCCCTGTTGCAGTTACCGCCTGTGTGACCCTTCGGAACAAAAGTTCTATGGAAAGTTACCCCTCTTTGGGCAGTATTTTGCTCTGGAAAACCCAGGGACCATCAAAGTGGGAGACCCTGTGTACCTTCTGAGTCAGTAGTGGGATCTGTATGCTCTGGAGTACTGGATGCCTCTTTAAAAGGTCTTTAAAAGTGACATTACTTGAAACACAGTGTTTCAGTGTTTTCTTTGGAAAGGTGTTTTCCAAGTTTTTCCTCTTCCCAGTTTCCTTCTGTGTCATGGCTTCCCAGCTCTGGTGCCCAAAGCAAAGACATACAGTCTTGGAGAGTTTAGTAGACTATGTTAAGTCTCTTAAACGATCGCAGGCTTCTCGATATGCCCTGTATATGATTATGAAATAATTCTTTCTCCTACTTTTTCATTTACTTACCAGGAGCACAAATGTCTAGCATCTCTCTACCAGTCTTTTGGGAAAGAGAAAGGAAAAAGAAGTCAGGATGTGCGGGCCAGAGGAATGTTCTGGAATGTTTCATTAGCTTGCACATGATGCATGCGATGGAAATGAAATTGTCTCCCAGATCAAGCTGAATGATCTGGCACATTGCTTCCCAGGACAGTGTCTGTGAAGGTTTGAAGGATCCTTTCAGACATGCAACGCCTCTGAAACGGCAAGGTAGAAAAGACAGGGTCTGGGCTGACTGAAAATAAGATCATTTTTGTTTTCCCATGAAGCAGTGTCAACACATCCTTCGCAGGGTTCAGAACCTTTCAAGCATGCGGGGTGAACTGTGTCACCAGAGACGGAAAGACCTCTGGCTGGGTGGCTAATATGAAATTTGGCCTTGCCCAGCAAATTGTTGCTTCTCTTAATATGAGCAATATAAAATGAGCCTGGGAGGAGATGGTGCCATCTAGTGGCGGTGAGTGACAGCTCAGCAAAGCCCCCAACCCTGCGAAAACTTGAAAAATAATCTTAGGACTAAATTTAGTTTTCTGTACTAGAAGAATTTCAGTCTGGAGGAAGTGAAGGAGCCCCAGGTTCCCTGTGTTTCTCTCCTTTAGTAAGGTGATTTTCTTTTCTTTAAAAATTTTTTTATTTACTTTTTTATTTTATGTATATGAGTGTTTTGCCTACATGTATGTAAGTGCATCTGTGTCATGCAATGCCTGCAGAGGTCAGAAAAAGGCATCAGGAACTGGAGTTAAGGACAGTTGTTAGCAGTCATGTGAGTGCTGGGAACCAAACCCAGATCATCTACAAGAGCAGTCAGTACTCTTAGCCACTGAGCCATCTCTCCAGCCCCCCCCCCCTTTTTTAAAAATTATTTTAGCCGGTGTGGTGGCACATGTCTGTAGTCCCAGCACTTGGGAGGCAGAGGCAGGTGGATCTCTGTGAGTTCAAGGCTAGCCTGGTCTACATAATGAGTTCTAGGCCAGCTGGGGCTACAGGGAGACCCTGTTTCAAAAAGACCAAAAAAATTTATTTTTAAATTATATGTATGTGTATGTATCTGTGTGTGGGTGCTGGTGGAGGCCAGAAGAGAGTAGAAAAGGGTGCTGGCTCACCCTGAAACCAGAGTTACACAGGGTTGTGAGCAGCTTAAGGTGAATGCTACGAACAAAACCTGGGCTTTCTGTAGGAACAGGAAATGTTCTTAACCAATGGGCCATCTCTCCAGACCCGAGGGGTAAATTTTTTAAAGCTCTTGGGAATAAGGCTGTGGGTTCCAGAGACCTCTTTGATCCTTGCAGGTGCCCCCAAAGTATGACCAGATACTCCTGATATTCAGGGTGAAAATGCTTTGTAAAGGGGGAAGAAAAATGATTCTGTAGTTTCACACAGACCACTGCAAACCTTCAAAGGAAACAAACATGATATGGCTTGTTTAAAAGTTTTTCTTTTTTCTTCAATGTAGTTATTGAATTTTTGTGCATTTCATACATCTTAATCATATTAGACCCCCTCCTTTATCTGTACCCCCCCACCCATGCATTCGTGCATGGATTTCATGCATTCTTTTGTATATTTTAAGGCTTATCGAGTCAAGTTTGTGTACCCAGATGTCCCTCAGTGTGAGTTCATCCACTGGAGCCTGGTCAGCCTATCTAACATCACTCCCTTAAAGAAGACCAACTCTCCCTCACGCAGCAGTAATCACTTGCCAATAGTTCTTCAGTTAGGGTTGGGGCCTGCTGCCTATTTCCCCGGTTCTATGCTGGGTTTTGTCTGAGTTTGCACGGGTCTTGTGCATGCTCTCACCATTGCTGTAAGTTCATATGAACAAGTTCCTAGAATCCTGAATAACTGCTTCCTTATGGTCATCCTCCATCCCTGGCTCTTACAATCTTTCCACCCCTTCTTCTGCAGTGGTCCCTAAGCCCTGGCTGGTTGGGGTTTACTCTCAGAGTC